GGGGCTCGGGTGGTCTCGAATTTCCAGAGTTGGGGTTGAGGGAGAGGGTTTGGGGTTTGGGGTTTAGGGTTTAGGGTTTAGGGTTTAGGGTTTAGGGTTTAGGGTTTAGGGGTTTAGGGTCTAGGCTGAGAGAGAAGCTTTGGGAAAGGGTCAGAAGCCCCGCGGCAAGAGGCCTCTGCAACAGGCATCGCACCTACGAGCCACCGAGTTCACCGTTTAGGGCAGCAGTTTAGGGATAAGGGATATTGTGGGTTTAGGGTTTAGGGATTAGGGATTAGGGGTATGGGTTTAGAGTTTAGGGTTTAGGGTTTAGGGTTTGGGGTTTGAGGGCTTGGGTGTCACGCATTTGGGGGCTGTCTCTGGTGGGTGTTGCACTTGCTCAGCACTGCTTTGGGAGGGGACAACATAAAATCCTACTTTGTAGATCTTCGCCAGCGAGAGCAAAGCACGTGTCGCACCTCCGATCAAGAGCTTTTTTTTTGAATTTGAAGGACCCTTACCTGACCTCTGCTATGCGCATGTCTTGGGACGTCAGCAAACGATCTGATGCATCAACAAACTGCGAGAAGAGAGCACTCCCTGCAAGCCCCAAGCCCTAAACCCCCTGAAACCTCCCTAAACCCTCAGCCCTAAACTCTGTAGACATCAAAAGGGCCCTCAAAAAATCCCTAAACTCCAAACCGTCTAAACCGTAAACCCTTGAGCCCCCGATCTTGCAGGCGGCCGCAGGATGAGGGGATCGACACATCCGTGAGCCCCATCCCGATCGGGTTTGAGGGGTTCGCGGCATTCAGGCCATTTAATTTAAGGGGGTATAGGGTATAGGGTTTAGGGTTTAGGGTTTGGGGTCTCGGGTAGGGGTTAGGGGGGTTTGGGGGGTTTAAGATTTAGGATTTGGGGCTCTCGGCAAGTAGGGTTCAGGGTTGAGGGTCAACTGTTGCTCTAAGGTCTCTGAAGCTTTCTACAAGAGCGTCTTTACACGGCTTTTTAGGGTGTGAAGTTTAGAGCTTTTGGGGTTGGAGCTTCCGGGCTGCCTTTGGGTTTAGGGTTCAGGGTTTAGGGTTTAGGGTTTAGGGCCGTTTATTAAGGTTTGCACTGTGGCAATAAGTGGCCACAACCTAGGTTTCGGGTCGGCAAAACAGGGTTGGGCCCTTCGGGGGTCTCTACCGTTGTGAGGTTTGGGGCAACAAGAGGATGTCGGGATCTAGCAAGGGTCCTATAAGGGCTTATAGGATTTGGGATGAGGGTTTACGGCACACTTAGAAGGGACGAAGCTTGTCGGAGAACAAGCAGTGTAATCACAATCAGGGTACGTACGTGTCTACTCTACCCTAAACCCTAGACCCTAAACCCTAAACCATAAACCCTAAACCCTAAACCCTAAACCCTAAACCCTAAAACCTAAACCCTCAACCTTAACCCGCACTCAGCCTTCAACTAGTTCAAGCCTCAAAAGGCACGTAGCATTGCCCTTGCTGCATGTACTGGCCTGACGCAGCGCGCCCAGGCAGAAAAAGTGCGGGCTCAGAGCCAAAGCCTGAACCTGAACCCTCAAGTCTAACCCTAGAACCCGGTTTAGGGTTTAGGGTTTAGGGTCTCGGGTTTAGGGTTTAGACCCTAGGGTTTAGCCCGCATGTTTTGGTCTGAGTGATTGCAGTGTTTGTGTGTGTGTGTATGTTTTTTTTTGTATGTGTGCGGGCTTCATGTGCAATGCATGCGTGCAGATGATCTATGTTGCCACTATGCCGGAGAGAGAAGTAGGATGCTCCGGCAAGCAGCTGCCTGTCGGCATGTTGCCTGTTGGCACCGCTGTGATGCTACTGCCTGCACCAGATGTTTACCGAGGCAGACAGTTCCCGTTCTATCCGGGAGGGAGACATTCGGCTTGCGACAGATGCGGTGTGACATGCGGTGCGCAAATGCTGCCATGCGGTGCTCACAGCCCCTTGAATACCAAGGGCATCACCTAGTTGAGGATTGTCCAACACTAGAGTCACTAGTGCAAGAAGGATTGGAAAAAAACCAGGTTGTCGGCACAGTTGTCTAACGGTCAGGATGTTGATCTTAACCGTAAGTGTAGTTGGCACAATCTCAGAGTCTCCTTTTCCAACCTTGTACTACATGGTGTTTATCTTGGATTTGAGTTCTACTGCCTACACGCATATGTGCATTGCCGAGCGATGGCCTCGGCGCCTGCACCAACAACTGCCTCCAAAGCAGCATGTGCACTTTTAGGCCAGTTTGTGCTGGATGGCAAGGTGCATTTTGATTTTCACCGGCTTTTCCCGATGCCTTCAGAGTTCCAACAGGCTTTCGATGAACTTGAGAGGACTTCTGAACAGAGGACCCCGTGGCAGCACCATGATGCTGAATCCAATCAAAATTCAATCCATGGGGATGATGAAGAATGAAGAACATCCCTATCTGTTCAGCATGCCAAGGCAGGACATCGGACCCAGCATCGCTGCTGAGCCCCGATTAGTTTAATCATTAACACCGTCAAACTTCGAACCACCTAAGCCCCAAACCCCAACCTGAATTCAACCACATCGCTCTTTGCCTAAACAGTTTGCAATCTCATTCCTTTGGCCGGGAGATCTACAAGAGAGCCCGGAAACATAGCCTTTTCATTTTGGACTTTAGATTGCAATCGCGATGAACCAACATAACCTTCGTACAAACCCCTTTAACAACGGTAACCTGTTTTGACCTCAACAGTATAGTCTGACAGACCCAAAAAAGGCCTTAAATACTAAACCCTAAACCCTAAACCCCTAAACCCTAAACCCCTAAACCCTAAACCCGTAAGCCCTTCACCCTAAATCCTAAACCCTAAGCCCTAAAACCCCAAGTTTGCGTCTCGAGCCTGCAAGGCAGCCCGGCCAAAGCAGCCGCTGCACCGACAGGCGCATGACCCTAAGCCCTAAACCCCTAAACCCCAAGCCCTACCTGGACCCTGAAGAACCTACCTTTTTAGGGTTCCTTAATATGAATTCCTTATATGAGCCCTTAAAAAGGTGGGTTATTTAGGGTTAAGGTAAGCCCAAACCCCTAAACCCCTAAACCCCTAAACCTCTAAATCCCTAAACCCCTAAACCCCGAAACCCCTAAACCTCTAAATCCCTAAACCCCTAAACCCCGAAACCCCTAAACCTCGAAATACCAAAACCCCTACACCCTAAACCCTGTGTGCTTTCGGATCTTAGCGTTTCAAAGGAGCGGCTAGTCACATTCTGGTGCGTTGAGAGAGCGCGGCTCGAAAGCATAGAAGCCGTGGGTTTTCCATGACAGCATTTCGGACATTACGGCCCAGGGTTTTTTAGGCCCTAAACCCTAAACCCTAAACCCTAAACCCTAAACCCTCGAGCATCAGAGGCTCTAGATCCCCCGCTGCCTGACTGTAGTTTACTTTGTCAAAGCTTAGCTCTGTATTTGGTGCGTAGGTCCTCGCGCGAACTCTAAAACTCGACTCCCTAAAAAATCCTGTGAGACTCTATAAAACCTATGACAAACTTTATACATCCAGTTAAAAGCTCGATATCCTAAACCCCACACCTTTAAACCCCTAAACCCCAACCCCCCTAAACCCTAAACCCTAAACCCTAAACCCTTATCCCTAAACCCTAAACCCTACACCCTAAACCCTAAACCCCAGGTGCCCAGAGTGCCTTGAGCCTCCTGGGTAAGCCTTCTGCTCCAACGCCAGCGACGGGGGCGCTTCCGTCGGGCTATGAGCACTTCTGGCTTATCTTAGGGTTTAGGGTTTAGGGTTCAGGGTATAGGGTTCAGAGTTTAGGGTTCTGGGGTTTGGGGTTTTAGGGTTGAGGGTTTGGGGCTTAAAGTTTAGGGTTTAAAGGTCTTAGGGTTCCTGCAAGGATTCGAGTCTGGAGTTTTGGTACGCTTTGATGGTCGGGGCCTAATAATCGAAGTAGGACTTTGGGGTCCTGCCCTAAGGGGTCCATGTACCCAACTCATAGATACTTTGCCCCCAAAGTATCCAAAGAGGGACTACAACCCTAAACCCTAAACCCTAAACCCTAAACCCTAAACCCCTAAACCCTAAACCCTAAACCCTAAACCTTAAGGGTTAGGGTTGGGGGTTTGACCTGCGCCAGGTCGGCTAAGCTCGCCGCGGCCCCGGCGGCGGTGGCCAAGGTCTCCCCGGCCTCCACGGTGTCGTCGGCACTCAGTAGCAGCGGCTCGGCACAGAAGTGGTAATTATGAAGTTCAAGCTCGGGGAGGTTGACAACAAAGGGATGGAGATAAGCCCTAGAATCTAGAATCCTACAAGTGTGCGATGCATGCATGCACGTATGCATGTATGCATGGATGTATGTATCTGTCTGCCTGTCCGAATGTCCGTATGTATGCATGTAGGTAGGTGGGTAGGTAGGCACACATAGTATGATTATTATTATTATTAGTGGTAGTCGTAGTCGTGGCAGTAGCAGTAGTAGTAGTAGCAGCAGCAGCAGCAGTAGCAGTAGCAGTACGTAGGACGACGGCAACAGCGACTCGTGGTTCTCCCTTAGCCAAACTCTGCACTTCGAAGCAATGCGAGCTGCTGAAGGATCAGCT